CCAGTGATTAAAGATTACTATTTCATTTTGAATGTATCTAAATGCAAATGTGTCAACTCGAAAAACACGCCCATATCAAACGATTGTTAAAAATCGATGGGCATTTCACGCAGAAGAAGATAAACCGAATGTTTTAGATTAAGATATCTCTCAAAGGACTAAACCGCATCATGTTGACGCCATGGCTTTACAGCTTGTAGGAAATAGGAGAATTCTGGGCCTATGATTTTTCTGTCATGTAAATTTGGAGAAATTGGAAGAAGAGACTGGAAGGTTTTTTGTCCGCTTTGTAGTCTTCAAAAATCCTCAGTTCAGCCGGTACACGAGTCAGCAGTAACTCTTATTAGCAGATGCTATGTCATGTAAGGATAACACGTTTTGCTTTCAAGTCCTTCTAAAGTCTTTTCGTTTGCAAAATGCCCTCCGTTTTGAAGACACGAACTCTTGCAGCCCCTCTTACCAAGCAATTACAATGTGGAAGACTGTTATTCGCTGCATATCTTCACAGCAAAGCGGACACGGAAGGAGATAACATCCAATTATTCAATAACACTTACTCTCGAGACGCCATGACTAACATCACTCCAAGCATTTTGTCCAAAGTCGGACGAAACCTGCACCTTTGTAAAAATCACCCACTAAGCATTTTAAGAGAACGAATCCAGGAACATGTTTATGCGGACTACAGAACTCGCTGGGGCGGCCCCATGTTTACAATGGTGGATAATTTGTCTCCAGTTGTCACGGTGGAACAGAACTTTGATAGTTTGCTTGTTCCAAAAGATCACGTTAGTCGAACGAAGAATGATAACTACTACATAAACGCTGAGCACTTGCTTCGCGCTCACACCTCAGCGCATCAAAGAGACTTGATTAAAACTGGACTGGATGCTTTTCTTGTTACGGGTGATGTTTACAGGCGGGATGAAATCGACATGTGTCATTACCCTGTGTTTCATCAGATGGAAGGTGTCAGGTTGTTTTCACAGCACGAGCTGTTTTCACAATATGAGGTGAATATCTCTTCCTTTTCCAAACCATTTGAGGGGGAAGGAGTGGGCTTTTTTCTTTTTTCTTTTGGGAATGTCAGCTGGCCTTGCAGAATGCCTTCTCTATGATGAAGTCTATTCTGTGGCCAACTATGGACCCCATCTCAGTCACCTCTGGGCCAATGTAATTTTTAAAATCCCTACAGTAACAACTTTTTAATTGCAAATCTTCCTATTTTTAAACCCCTACTCACCAGAATTTTCTTATCCCAAAGTCCCAAAAATGTGCGACCCCATTCTAGTAACTCTATTGGAAATGCAATGCTTTTATTATCAATCCAGTCATTAAAATGCTACCCCATCCAGTAGCACACTCCATTGGCCTATTACTGGGAGATACCCCTTTCTGCATGCGCATAACCACTCAGGTGACATCGGATATGTACATGTCTTGATTGTGCAAAAATTGCAAGACATTTTACAATTATTGACCTCCTTTATCTATTGATTGTAATTTTGAAGCACGAGCTATCTTAACCCTTAACTCCCAAGATCCAATTAGTAATTCTCCCTACTAGAAGCCATACATTTCCTTTTAAATTGAATGAAAAGAATTTGGTATTAGATCAAGATAACATCCATTAGATGGCTTATCAATTTTCAAAGCCAGGTTATGAGACAAGGTATTGGAATTACCCAGAAAAATTAAATTTCAATCACTTCTGGGGATTAAAAGGTTAAATTTACCATGATTTGTTCATACAAAGAAATGACAAATGCAGTATTTGATCATGATTACTTTCATTATTTCTTTGCAAGGAGCCATTGGAAATGTTTGATCAAAGCAGAAGCAAAACCCCTGAGAAACAAGCTGCACACACACTGGAGGCAGTAAAGCTTGTTGAGTTCAGTCTCAAGCAAACACTGGTGAAGATTGTTGAACACCTGTGTGGAGAGGGAGTGGAAATGCGCTGGGTTGATGCATACTTTCCCTTCACCCATCCTTCCTGGGAATTAGAAGTTAATTTTGAAGGTGAATGGTTGGAGCTGCTTGGGTGTGGCGTGATGGCACAGGAGATACTTGTAAATGGTAAGTTAAAAAGATAAATGTAAATGAAATGTTTTGGAAACTAGCAATGATTCATTCATTCATTTCTGTACCTTTTCAAAGTTGAACTGGTATTTGAAATGATGGTTTTTGTGGAGGAAGAAACACCAGGTTACCAAATGGAAAACCCCTGGATCATTGACCAAAAACTGACATATTAGATTCAATATTAGATAACTCATTTTTTTAGTTTCATGTCATGATTAACAGTTAAACTTCTTTACCTTTAGTTCTTTCATCAACATTATGTTTACATTGATTTTATATTTTAGTTGTGTTTATTATTGAAGGTATACATGTAGCCTAATGGCTGATGAGCTGGACACTGGAATAAAAGGTCCAGGTTTGAGACCTAATCAGATCAGCATTTTATGTTCTTGTGCTAAGCACTTTACTCCCACAGTGCCTCTCTTTACCCAGGAATATGAATGGGTACCAGCAAATTTTCAGGAAAATCTGATAAAATGTAGAGGGGTAACCTTGCAATGGACACGCATCCCATTTGGGGGGAGTAGTAATCCTAGTTGCTTCATATTGAGGAAACCAGGATAATCTGCAGCTGAATGGGCTACTTGGCTTGAACACAGACTTAACCTTTAGTGAAGGAAAGTTTATTGTTTTATCAGATTTTAAACATACCATTGTAATTGAGATTTCCCATTTCATTTCCAGGTGGAGCTGAACACAAGATAGGCTGGGCATTTGGTATTGGACTTGAGCGTTTGGCCATGAGGCTTTTTAACATCCCTGATATTCGGCTGTTTTGGAGTGATGATCCAAGATTCCTTTCTCAGTTTGAGGGAAACAAAGTTGTTGAGTTCAAGCTGTTCAGCAAGTACCCACCTACTTACAAGGATGTGGCGTTTTGGATTCCTGAAAACTTCTCTCCAAATAACCTGTTTGATGTGGTTCGTGGGGTGGCCGGTGACATAGTGGAAAAGGTGAGGGACTGGAAGTTGAGGAAAGGGCTGTGTATGTAGAAACGTAGCAGAGAGAGAGAGGGTCTAATAACTGATTTTGGTTTACTTAAATCTACTGGTGATCTATCACAAATGCTGCAATCTTTTTGGCTATGCTACTCATCTAGTTAAGAAATGTTCAGCATGCAGCATGTAACCATCCAGTTATGGATGCACACTGGAAGGTGTCAAGCCAGAGTTTATAGGTACCTTAGGTTTATGAAATAGTGAAAATGAGCATCGCTAAGGCTGTTTACCTTATTTCAGGTGGAGTTGGTGGACACATTCTGTCATCCCAAGACTCAGAGAGAGAGTCACTGCTATAGGATAACTTACAGGTCCATGGATAAGACTTTTACTGACATTGAAATTAATAGTATTCAGGATGAGGTCAGGGAAGAAATTCAGAAGAGATTATTGGTAGAACTTAGGTAGATTACTCCATCTATGTCATTTTGAAATAGATGCTTGATCAAGCTGTGGTGTGATTTGAAGAAATTGCACTGGTTTTGCTTTTTTAAGCTCTATGATTGGTCCTAAAAATGTGTGCCAGCCACTGAACCAATCAGATGCTAAACTTGTCATTTTCCAGTGCTTGAGGCAGGTTAGGTGCAACTAATTGAGTTCTCATTGGCTCCCTGAGATTCTTTTTTTTTGTTCTGATTGGCTTTTATGTTTACATTGCCCTGGATTTAAATTTAAGAAACTTAAAAATTGTACAGTGTTCTAAAACATCTGCATTCAAATTTTGTTCCCTCATATAAGTGGGTCACATTGAACCAAAGAAATTGTTACTTGTGAAATAGGCTTTAAATTTTATTTCCCACTAAGAAGACAACGTAAACAAGTATTAGTAGATTTTGAGTACACTTTTTCCCCTAACAAATTGTGTTTTGGCTCCAGTTGTTCAAAGGTTGGATAAGGCTATGCACTGAATAAATTTTATCTGGTGAATAGTGCAGTATATTTTGCCATCACTTATCTACTGGATAGTGATTTATCCATTGGATAATGTTATCAGACCTTCATACAGTTGGGCCTTGAAGTTTAGAGCCTGTTAATTTAAGAAATCCCGAGGAAAACACACTTTGTATAGTTTCAGATACAGCTAATTCCTTATTGAGTTTGAATAACATTCATAAATCGTTTGAAAGTAAACCTCTGACGATACTTAATTTCACCGTGCATGTCAATATAGGAATTGTTGAAGTTTACTGGAAAGGAAAGAGAGGAACCAAGAACCATGCTTTGAAAAATGCCCCTGTGAATGTGCAAGAATTACGAAATCTCTGAGCTATTGAGACGTTTTGTAATTGTTAGGAGAGAACTTCCATCTACTATCATTTAAACTGGAATATTTTGTCTGAAGATTTAATTTTCTTCTCTACGGATTCTGTTTCAATATCTTATTTTGGGTTCATTCTAAGCCCTTCGTGTTTGTCTTTCCCGGTAAATTATTATTTGAAACAACCGAGGCATTGTTATGTAGCTCTTTCCAACTGCAACAGATTCTCTCACATCACAGTCTGGGTTAATTTTGCTCCCGACAAAAGTGAAATTGCATAGGTTCATCCACCAGCAAACAAAATAATTTTCTTTTCAAATCCTGGACACTTGTTCAAAGCATGGTTTCGGGGATCGATGTCAAATTTCTTATGTACCACACACGTAAATCCCCATAGGAATTCGAAATAAATAAATCTTTTGGGAAATATTAATTTGATTTAAGTGCAAATGCTGTTTGGTATCCATGCTGGACTCAGATAAGGATATGTGAGGTATCCCTCTCGAAATCGTTCTTTATTTCTCTTGTCCAGGAGGGGTTTGACCGCGGAGTGAAGTCGGTTGTAGTGTTTTTGGACAATTACTCTGCCTCCTTGCTCCGGGAGTTTGCCTCCGTAGTCGAACAGGCGGTCGATACGAAGAGAACCCAAGCTCATTGCAACTCCGGCTTGAACCTGTCAAAGACATAAAAACAAAAGGATTTTTTTAAAAAAATTTTTTGGAAAGAGTGCAATTCAAACCAAGATAATGTATAATTTTCTTTACTCACTGCTGAAACATAACTATTCGGCAATCGTAAAGTATTAAATTTGTCATCGGGCACTCGTTCGTCGTCGTACATCTTCGTGGGCATGTTTGGCGTGAATGCTCCGTACGCCGAGATTGGATAATTGACAGCGGTATGTTGAGCGGTTGAGGTCCAGATGAGGCGCGTAACAATGTCGACCAGTAGTGCTTTGGTGGCTATCTGAGCTGGAAAACCGCGAAGCTGAAGAATTCAAGAACAATTAGAAAGTAATAATCAAGCGAATAGCGAAAGTAATCCGGAATTGCATTGGTTTTGTTTTACTTTGCGCTCTGATTGGTCTGCCAAAAATCGTGCAATCCTCTACCAATGAAATGCCCTAGTTAAACAAATCGCACTTTGACAACCCGCGTTTTCTCGCCTTCAGGCAGTTTGTTGGTGTTTTTCATTTTGGTTTCTCCTTAGCACCATGTCATATATTAATTTTTTTTCCCGAAAGGCCTTTGTGATTGATTCGCTTTTGATTTTATTCAGTCTAAACACGCCCGGTGGAGTTAAGCTACCTTTCCTTTACCGCCGTCTTTCCCCACTCCCTCAGATGACATCTCGTTGGCGAGACCTTGAACTTCGTGATCCTTCAGTACATCGCTGTCAGCGTGGTAATAACTACGATACAATGACATGCGCGAGATAAGACTTTTCATTAACTGGACAGTCGATCAAGCAACCAAGAATGGACCATTTATTTACAGTATGAGCATTCCATTTCTAAGCAACATCCCCAAGTTGAAAGTAAAGTCAGCTCACTGGCCAAAATGACCATCTTGCCGGCTTTGTTTCATAACAAAACTGGTTGGCTTCTACTCACAAATTGACGTAGTCCTTGACTAGATCTTCCATGGCTTTATAAATCAATTCTCCGTCGTCTCTGTATGGGAAATATGGCAATTTTCTTCGGTCATCGATGCCACGGGCCTGATAGTAAGAAAAAGGAAAAAAGAGAAATTTCTATGAAGTATATGCGCAACACTGGAATAAACTCCTTAAGGCAGTCACAAGTTTAAATAATTGCTCGTTGAAAGCTCGAGCACAATTTCGTTCCTCTTGCAAAATGTTTTTAGAATGTGAAGGTGATATGAGTCACCGAATCTTTTTATGGCTATATGCAACCTCGTTCCCAGAGTCCTCTCTTTTCATCCCACGAGGAAGGAAGAGAGAGGAACCTGGGAACGAGGTTGGTCAAAAGTGTAATTTGAAGTTACGTCATACCTTATTCTTGGCTCGGAAGTCAGTATCGGCCCAAGTCAAGGTCTGAAATGCACGCACCAATAGAGTTACAGAACCAGTATTACCAATAGCAAACAACTGATGCATGTATGCTTGATCGTCAACTAGTTTAGGAAATCCCACTTTGTTAGTGGGTAATAAGCCTCTACAGTAGAACAAGGAAATAATTACAAGCAGAAATTCATATTAATCGTATAAATTATATTGATATTCACTTTTACCTTTTATTGAGCGGTATTATTCTACACCAAGTCGCTGATTACACAATGATATATATAAGATGTTGGAATGTGGCATCATGTCGTCCAACCTGGGCTCGCAACAATTAAAACACCTGATAAGCCAGGTAAAGTGAAGTAGAACACTTAAGGCTGATCGATGGCCTGGGTGTGACTCCAGCCACCCAAAAGCTTTTAAGATCTTCCCTACCTACAGTGATATTTCAGTAGCTGGTGCAAGGGGTGCAGTGTTGATAGGTATCTCAGTATGCACACACAAAATGGCTCCATCATGAGGTGGGTTTTTAGTAAATGTTCCACCATCTCCACATAAGCAAAATCTGTGACTTGAAAGCCCGCTTTGGCAAGAGCCCACAGGTCACCATCTTCGGGAGAATAGACTGGTGAGCCTGTGCAAGGAATGAAATAGGAGATCTGTTATTCCGAGTTAGATTTTTGAATTGGGGTTGGAAAAACTTCGGAAACAGGATACCGGGAGAAACAGAATGCGAAGGGATGGCACGAGGAGAGAAAGATTGTCCTCGTACTTACCTGATGTAGAATCAACCTGGATAGCCACTGGTTGCAACTGTGCAGGTCTACCTTTCCCCCCTGGACGCGAGACAAACAATGCTATGGGAGACATTGCGGGCCACATTTTCCGCGTGGGACTGGGCTCTGTGATGTCTGGCACGGTAGAGAGGTTGTCAAAGGCCGGGTACTGCACAACAAATAAAGATCCATCGGCGATTGTGTCTTGTATCAAGGTGTTTGTTTCCAGGCTTCTCGAGAGCGCGGCATCCCAGTCGTAGTTTGGATTCAAACGTTTTTCAAGATCAGACCATTTGACTCCAATGGGATCTGAGAGAGATACAACAAACGTTAATATAAAACAACTATTGACACATTCACGTCTTTCGTAAGTAATTGTTTGTCATTGCGGAGCCTTGGAGCTGTACTTACCTTGACCAGCGGTAACTTTCATAAGTGACATAGGATTGAGGCCGGCTAACCGCTGTTCAGTAAACACCCGGTCTTGTCGCCACGTGACATTGTTGACGACGCTTTTAAAAAGTTCCTCTTGAGAGGGAAATCGGAAAAACGGGCGAACCTGAAGAAAAATGACCCACAAAAATTATTCTTGATGCAAAGAGATGGACTTGATTGCCACAAGGTTGATAAGTCTACGAATAGTGGCGAGAAAAAAACCTTGATTTCTATGAAAGTAATTAAAAGTGTTGCATAATTTTACACTAAAGATTTCTCCCTTACCATTTCTTCACTTTGTTGTTGCTTGAGAAAGAAGTGATAAACTTGTTCATAGTCAGAGATCTTGGTGAATTCTTCTTTATTCGTTTTCCTAAAATTCTGGATGAGCGCTAGATTTTTCTTCAACATGTAACCATATAGCTTCATCCACGTTTCTGTGAAGGGGTCCGATAGTGTAAGATTTATCAAGAGATATGCATTAATGTCACTCATGGGGAATGGAAGGTTTTTCACGTGGCCCAGTTTGTAGAGTCCTCGGTGTTTTTCAATGTCTTTTCCTCTGCTCTCGTGGCAGTGGAGTGGAACCTTTTGGGGGATAGCGACACCACAAGGGACACCTAGGAAAGCAAAACAAAAAAAAAATTGGGCAAGTAGAAAATCTTTATTTAAAGTGAGCTGGTTTTTTTTCCTGTATCAAGAGAGTGAGACAAAGGAATAAATTCTTAGTCCTCAGCCCACCCTCTTCAAAGGGACTAGCAGAACATGAGCTCATGTGCTCTTGGGTAGACTCAGATTTTTCTAGAATACCTTATTTTTTTTTTATCTGAAGGACTCATAAAGTGGAACATCGAGAATTCTCCGGCAAGAGGTGAAAAGAAGAGAGAGTAACTAAATCTAATGACCTAATTAATTATTTATTAGCATAAGATTACATTAATGACCCCAATCAAGTGCATATGTATAATTTTTTTTCGGAAAAAGCTATAAAGTACTTACGCTCCTTGCATCCCACTTTGGGTTCGTATCCAATCCACCCCGGACAACAATCGTAAATGTTATAATGAATAATTTTGCGAACTGGGTACCAGTAAATCTTGGTTTCGGTACTATAAGGAAAAAATAGATAAATTCAGTTCTACAAGGGATGATTCAATTTCGGTGGTAAAATGTCCTTGAAATATTATTCACGTTGGGAAAATACTGCTTGCGTATCCGTTCCTCAATTCATTTATCCATCTATTCTATTTTTTAAGTAAAGTTTCAGGGTATTTTGCAAAGTAGGATTGTAGTAATCTCGTGGCTAGATCCTACCGCGTAGTTGTAACTGAAATGTAGGACCTTACAATCGATTGGCCGTGAAAGGTCTGGGTACAAGACTATAATTGTAATTGAGTTGAATCAGAATTATTTTGCTTTAATAATAATCAACAAATTTCAGCCCATTTCTTTTTGGTTAATTATTATTACCATTAAATATTTTTTTGGCAAGTGAAAACTGTTTTCACTTTAGTCCAAATCAAAGATAAAGGTGAAATAGTTGGGTGTGATGTAATTGAAATGATAATTAGAAATGTAATGGCGACTTCTCAGAGAATCGTCATTCGTTTCTCAGTGTCAGCGGTGTTCTCAATTTTGACATGACCGTGGAGGGCTGGTAAGAAATTTGACGTCACTGGAAAACTACCTGTCGAGATTGTTTCAGACTGACACGTTTGTTCTCCTGAATTTTACAAATTTTTCTTTAAAATTTTCAAAATGAGTTTGGTTTAGATATGGCTGTTTTTAGAGCCAATAATACTGAAAATGACCGTTCTTGAAAAAATTAGGGTCTGAAATGCTCAGCAAAACTAAAACACAATCAATTGCCGAAAATGATGAAATTTTTCAGCACTATGGATCAGCGGGAAATATTGATTAACTTGTCCCATTCGGAGGCAAAAGAACCCTATGGATCCTTTTTTTAAACACAGGAAGCTCAAAATCGTCATGTGCATCATAAAAGCTTTCTTAAAGAGGGGCAGAAGTAAATTTTTTCCCAAGAAAGAGATTCTGTTTTTGTTTCTTTTGATATCCAGAAAAAAAAATTTAGGAGAGAACTATGTAATGTTAGGAATAAAGGCAAATTGTCAAGGATAACTCAAGGAATTCAGGCCTTAAAAAGAGGAAGTAGAACAATATAAAATTGCGGTTTTAAACAAAAAACACTGGTTACTTATAACAACTAAATGTGTGTTTACATTGAAACAGCTTCTGTACCTTTCTCTTGAATTCCTTACCTTTCTTCTTTACATTGGAGTTTAGGGAAAGAAAAAATTCCACAATCGACAACCTTAACTTTTTTTTCAGTGGTGGCATTTCTCCGTAGCACTAACTGTGGTCTTGTTCTTTCAAAGGCGCAAACATTTTTGCCTTTTTCCGGCGCCGGTCGAGGGATTGACTCTTCATGGGATGCCCTGCATAATTTAGAACAAAACGTTTGAAGTAACGTTCCGCTAAACTGTAATTTTCGAACTAAATTATGTTCAAAAAGACTTACCTTATTATAACGGCGAAAATGATAGCGAACAGAAATGTCGAACAGGCAATCGACGATTGTTTTTTCAAATTCATTGGCAACAAAACTTTACAAGTTGGCCTGATATAATGAGAATATAACTAGATGCAAGGATTCGACAAGAAAATTACACTTGTTTTCAATTGCAAAATTTTTTGTCGACGAACAATGTACGACACAAATCCTTTTAAAAAACAATCTGTATGACCATGTTTCAACAAAAGAAGCCCCCGATTTGCTCCATTCACGAACCACTTAAAACACTAAAAAGTAATCATATTTTGCCCGGATATTGGTAAGGATTTCATTACCAATAAGGAAATCTTATCTAAACATTCCTAATGTACTAAACAAATCTTCAGAAATCCTTTGTAGGCTAAAACCAATAAGGTATTGAAGTAAATTTCGATTCTGTTGGCATTAAAATCTTGCGTTCGTACCCAGTGCCAAAATTTTTACCTTTTCCTCACATTTAAGCGTTACAGAGAACAATCCATGACTTGTTCCTTCTTTCTTGGGTTTGGTTCACTTGTAAAAAAACTAATTTCGTATTTCTTTGTTAATTGGCACCTGTCGTTTATGTGCACCTCTGACAGTGATCAGTGACAAATTGTCGGATAAACCAAATCGAGCAGGCGATACAAACTTGCGATAATTTCCTGGTTAACAAGAAATTATTTATATTCATTAAATATGATTTTCAGTTTTCGCAATTAGAGAAAGGGGGAAAAAAGATAGAAAAATGAAGTAGTCTCATTTTATTTCCGCGAGGAAAACACTGTGAGCAATTTATTCCCCATTTCTTTGTCTCTTTTACAAAAAAATTTAGATCCAGTAAATTTAGATCCATTCAGATCCTTAACTTCTACCATACGTGAGATTGGTTTTGAAGGAACAGATTGATTAATGAGCTTGATTAGAAATTGC